AGATAAGAGCTTTCTTAATTCTCTCCACAGCGGCCTGTAGGTTGGTCAAAGATGCTGCATATGATATGCGGATGCAGCTGTCTTCTCCAAATGCATTTCCAGGAACCAGTGCAACCTGTAAATAGATGAACACAACTAAATTAATCACAAAATAATCATAGAGCTTTACACCATAATATTTTAAGATACTGTTATGCTAATATTATGGTATATTGGAGAATAAATTATGCGTTAGGTGACAAGTGTATTGAGATAAAAAGGTCAGTATGTGTTATGTGTAAAATGATGTCTTAAGGGTGGACATATATATCGGGGAGAACAAGTTTAGATAAGGGCAAGGGGATAGTTAATTCTGGAAATAACTTCCGAGTAATTACTCTTTCTCTAGTGAAAATAAGTGTTGCGTACTTTCTCACTTAACAAGCTCATATTATTAACAAAATCCCATGACAAAATCCATAAGTCAAGACCGTAACAATTTGGTATCAAAGCCAATTGCTATGGAGGAATTGCACACTATGATTGAAAAATCTCTGCACATTTATCAAGACGATAGAGGACAATATAAATTGATGTTTGAATTTTTAGCAGGAAGAACGGAGGAACTATTGGCTAGAACTGTCCCGAAAGAGTCTAGTGAAGGAAGCAGCCAAGAGGATCACAACCAATCGCACAGCAAAGAGGCTACTAAATCCACGGCATGCTATCTGCATAAGGAAGAAAAATGCCTGCCTGAGCAGGCCCCTTTGCATGCACCATGCAGCCTTGCACATGCATCTCTGCACGCTCAACGCGAACCAGCAGCAGCAGGGAACCACCAGCATGCTGAGCTCCCCTTTCTGCCTCGTTACACCAAACTAGAAATTTTCCATTTTGACAGTTCCAACAAACAACAAAATCTTGAAATTCCAGCATTGCTAGAAGCAGAAACTTCAGTGGTGGCAGCAATATGCGTTTGAGGACAAGCACAATTTTCCAGAAGGGGAGTAATGTTATGGGTAACATTAAGGTGTATTAACGAGAATAAATGATGTGTTAAGCAGGTAGGAAAGCGTATTAAGGAAAATAGGTCAGTGTGTTTTATGCATAAAATGACGTGTTAAGTGTGGACACGTATATTAGGGAAAACAACTTTAGACAAGGACAAAGGGGTAGTTAATTCTGGAAATAACTTTCAGATAAATACTCTGTCTTGTATAAATACACGTTGTCTTCCTAACAAATATTTAGGCAAGAAGAAATTTATAAAAAAGTGTTGAATACTTTCTTACTCAAGATATCATTAGGCTCTTTCTTAATGAGTCGATGCCATTACCAAAAAATCAGAGATCATTGAATTTTCTCTTAACGAACC